GGGCGTTCTAAGTCTTCGAGCGGGGCGTTCTACGTCTTCGAGGGGGCGATCTAAGTCTTCGAGGGGGGCGTTCTATGTCTTCGAGGGGGCCGTTCTAAGTCTTCGAGGGGGCGTTCTCGTCTTCGAGGAAGGCGTTCTAGTCTTCGGGGGGGGGGCGTTCTAAGTCTTCGAGGGAGGCGTTCTAAGTCTTCGGAGGGGAGCGTTCTAAGTCTTCGAGGAGGGCATTCAAAGTCTTCGAGAAGGGAATTCTAAGTCTTCGAGGGGGCATTCTAAATTTTCGGGGGCGTTCTAAATTTCGAGGGGGCATTCTAAGTCTTGAAAAGGATTCTAAGTCTTCGAGGGGGAATTCATTCTAATCTTCGAGGGGGGCATTCTAAGTCTTCGAGGGGCGTTCTAAGTCTTCGAGGGGCGCGAGGGGGGACATTCTAAGTCTTCGAAGGGATTCTAAGTCTTCGAGGGGGGCATTCTGAAGTCTTCGGGGGTATTCTAAGTCTTCGAAGGGGGGCGTTCTAAAGTCTTCGAAAGGGGCGTTCTAAGTCTTCGAGGGGGGGCGTTCTAAGTCTTCGAGGGGGCGTTCTAAGTCTTCGAGGGGCGTTCTAAGTCTTCGAGGGGGCGTTCTAAGTCTTCGAGGGGCGTTCTAAGTCTTCGAGGGGGCGTTCTAACGTCTTCGAGGGGGCGATCTAAGTCTTCGAGGGGGGCGTTCTATGTCTTCGAGGGGGCCGTTCTAAGTCTTCGAGGGGGCGTTCTACGTCTTCGAGGAAGGCGTTCTAAGTCTTCGGGGGGGCGTTCTAAGTCTTCGGAGGAGGCGTTTCTAAGTCTTCGAGGGGAGCGTTCTAAGTCTTCGAGGAGGGCGTTCTAAGTCTTCGAGAAGGGAATTCGAAGTCTTCGAGGGGGCATTCTAAATTTTTCGAGGGGGCGTTCTAAATTTTCGAGGGGGCATTCTAAGTCTTCGAAAAGGATTCTAAGTCTTCGAGGGGGATTCTAAAGTCTTCGAGGGGGGCGTTCTAAGTCTTCGAGGGGGCGTTCTAAGTCTTCGAGGGGGCGTTCTAAGTCTTCGAGGAGGGGCGTTCTAAGTCTTCGAGAAGGGAATTCTAAGTCTTCGAGGGGGCATTCTAAATGTTCGAGGGGGCGTTTCTAAGTCTTCGAGGGGGGGCGTTCTAAGTCTTCGGGGGGCGTTCTAAGTCTTCGAGGGGGGGGGCGGGGCGTTCTAAGTCTTCGAGGGGGGGCGTTCTAAGTCTTCGAGAAGGGAATTCTATGTCTTCGAGGGGGCATTCTAAATGTTCGAGGGGGCGTTCTAAGTCTTGGAAAGGATTCTAAGTCTTCGAGGGAGGGCGTTCTAAGTCTTCGAGGGGGCGTTCTAAGTCTTCGAGAAGGGAATTCGAAGTCTTCGAGGGGGCATTCTAAATGTTCGAGGGGGCGTTCTAAGTCTTGAAAAGGATTCTAAGTCTTCGAGGGCGCGTTCTAAGTCTTCGAGGGGGGCGTTCTAAGTCTTCGAGGGGGCGTTCTAAGTCTTCCAGGGGGGCGTTCTAAGTCTTCTTGGGGGGCAAGGGGACATTCTAAGACTTCGAGGGGGCGTTGCTAAGTCTTCGAGGGGGGGCGTTTCTAAGTCTTCGCGGGGACGTTCTAAGTCTTCGAAGGGGGCGTTCCAAGTCTTCGAGGGGGCGCGTTAAGTCTTCGAGGGGGCGTCTCTAAGTCTTCGAGGGGGCGTTTTAAGTCTTCGAGGGGGCGTTCTAAGGGGGGCGTTCTAAGTTCCGAGGGGGGCATTCTAAATCTTCGAGGGGGGCGTCTAAGTCTTCGAGGGGGCTTTCTAAGTCTTCGCGGGGGCGTTCTAAGTCTTCGAAGGGCGTTCTAAGTCTTCGAGGGGGCGTTCTAAGTCTTCGAGGGGGGCGTTCTAAGTCTTCGAGGGGGGCGATCTAAGTCTTCGAGGGGGGCGTTCTAAGTCTTCGAGGGGGACGTTCTAAGTCTTCGAAGGGGGCGTTCTAAGTCTTCGAGGGGGCGTTCTAAGTCTTCGAGTGGGGGCGTTCTACGTCTTCGAGGAGGGCGTTCTGAGTCTTCGAGAAGGGAATTCGAAGTCTTCGAGGGGGCATTCTAAATGTTCGAGGGGGCGTTCTAAGTCTTGGAAAGGATTCCAAGTCTTCGCGGGGACGTTCTAAGTCTTCGAAGGGGGCGTTCTAAGTCTTCGAGGGGGCGTTCTAAGTCTTCGAGGGGGGTTTCCGAAGTCTTCGAGGGGGCGTTCTAAGTCTTCGAGCGGGGCGTTCTAAGTCTTCGAGGGGGCGATCTAAGTCTTCGAGAGGGTCGTTCTAAGTCTTGGAGGGTGGCGTTCTAAGACTTCGGGGGGCGTTCTAAGTCTTCGGAGGGGGCGTTCTAAGTCTTGGAGGGGGGAGGGGACATTGTAAGTCTTCGAAGGGATTCTAAGTCTTCGAGGGGGCATTCTAATTCTTCGAGGGGGCGATCAAAGTCTTCGAGGGGGGGCGTTCTAAGTCTTCGCGGGGGCGTTCTAAGTCTTCGAAGGGGGCGTTTTAAGTCTTCGAGGGGGGCGTTCTAAGTCTTCGAGGGGGCGTTCTACGTCTTCGAGGGGGCGTTCTAAGTCTTCGAGGGGGGCGTTCTAGTCTTCGAGGAGGGCGTTCTAAGTCTTCGAGAAGGGAATTCTAAGTCTTCGAGGGGGCATTCTAAATGTTCGAGGGGGCGTTCTAAGTCTTGGAAAAGGATTCTAAGTCTTCGAGGGGGTTCTAAAGTCTTCGAGGGGGGCCATTCTAGTCTTCGAGGGGCGTTCTAAGTCTTCGAGGGGCGAGGGGGACATTCTAAGTCTTCGAAGGGATTTCTAAGTCTTCGAGGGGGGCATTCGAAGTCTTCGAGGGGATTCTAAGTCTTCGAGGGGGCGTTCTAAGTCTTCGAAGGGGGCGTTCCAAGTCTTCGAGGGGGCGTTCTAAGTCTTCGAGGGGGCGTTCTAAGTCTTCGAGGGGGCGTTCTAAGTCTTCGAAGGGGCGTTCTAAGTCTTCGAGGGGGGCGTTCTACGTCTTCGAGGAGGGGCGTTCTAAGTCTTCGAGAAGGGAATTCGAAGTTTTCGAGGGGGCATTCTAAATGTTCGAGGGGGCGTTCTCAGTCTTGGAAAGGATTCTAAGTCTTCGAGGGGGGCGTTCCAAGTCTTCGAGGGGCGTTCTAAGTCTTCGAGGGGGCGTTCTAAGTCTTCGAGGGGGCGATCTAAGTCTTCGAGGGGGGGCGTTCTATGTCTTCGAGGGGGGCGTTCTAAGTCTTCGAGGGGGGCGTTCTAAGTCTTCGAGTGGGGGCGTTCTACGTCTTCGAGGAGGGCGTTCTAAGTCTTCGAGAAGGGAATTCTATGTCTTCGAGGGGGCATTCTAAATGTTCGAGGGGGCGTTTCAGTCTTGGAAAGGATTCTAAGTCTTCGAGGGGGCGTTCTAAGTCTTCGAGCGGGGCGTTCTAAGTCTTCGAGGGGGCGATCTAAGTCTTCGAGGGGGCGTTCTATGTCTTCGAGGGGGGCGTTTCTAAGTCTTCGAGGGGGGCGTTCTAAGTCTTCGAGTGGGGGCGTTCTACGTCTTCGAGGAGGGCGTTCTAAGTCTTCGAGAAGGGAATTCTATGTCTTCGAGGGGGCATTCTAAATGTTCGAGGGGGGCGTTTAAGGTTCTAAGTCTTCGAGGGGGGCGTTCTACGTCTTCGAGGAGGGCGTTCTAAGTCTTCGAGAAGGGAATTCTATGTCTTCGAGGGGGCATTCTAAATGTTCGAGGGGGGCGTTCTAAGTCTTGGAAAGGATTCTAAGTCTTCGAGGGGGCGTTCTAAGTCTTCGAGGGGGCGTTCTAGTCTTCGAGGAGGGCGTTCTAAGTCTTCGAGAAGGGAATTCGAAGTCTTCGAGGGGGCATTCTAAATGTTCGAGGGGGCGTTCTAAGTCTTCGAGGGGGCGTTCTAAGTCTTCGCGGGGGCGTTCTAAGTCTTCCAGGGGGCGTTCTAAGTCTTCTTGGGGGGGCAAGGGGACATTCTAAGACTTCGAGGGGGGGGGCGTGCTAAAGTCTTCGAGGGGGCGTTCTAAGTCTTCGCGGGGACGTTCTAAGTCTTCGAAGGGGGCGTTCCAAGTCTTCGAGGGGGCGTTCTATGTCTTCGAGGGGGGGGCGTTCTAAGTCTTCGAGTGGGGGCCTTCTACGTCTTCGAGGAGGGCGTTCTAAGTCTTCGAGGGGCGTTCTAAGTCTTCGAGAAGGGAATTCTATGTCTTCGAGGGGGCATTCTAAATGTTCGAGGGGGCGTTCTAAGTCTTGGAAAGGATTCTAAGTCTTCGAGGGGGGCGTTCTAAGTCTTCGAGGGGGGCGTTCTACGTCTTCGAGGAGGGCGTTCTAAGTCTTCGAGAAGGGAATTCGAAGTCTTCGAGGGGGGGCATTCTAAATGTCTTCGAGGGGGCGTTCTAAGTCTTGGAAAGGATTCTAAGTCTTCGAGGGGCGTTCTAAGTCTTCGCGGGGACGTTCTAAGTCTTCGAAGGGGGCGTTCTAAGTCTTCGAGGGGGCGTTCTAAGTCTTCGAGGGGCGTTCTAAGTCTTCGAGGGGGGCGATTCTAAGTCTTCGAGGGGGCGTTCTATGTCTTCGAGGGGGCGTTCTAAGTCTTCGAGGGGGGGCGTTTGTTCTAAGTCTTCGAGTGGGGGCGTTCTACGTCTTCGAGGAGGGCGTTCTAAGTCTTCGAGAAGGGAATTCTATGTCTTCGAGGGGGCATTCTAAATGTTCGAGGGGGGCGTTCTAAGTCTTCGAGTGGGGGCGTTCTACGTCTTCGAGGAGGGGGTTCTAAGTCTTCGAGAAGGGAATTCTATGTCTTCGAGGGGGGCATTCTAAATGTTCGAGGGGGGCGTTTCTAAGTCTTGGAAAGGATTCTAAGTCTTCGAGGGGGCGTTCTAAGTCTTCGAGGGGGGCGTTCTAAGTCTTCGAGGAGGGTTCTAAGTCTTCGAGAAGGGAATTCGAAGTCTTCGAGGGGGCATTCTAAATGTTCGGGGGGCGTTCTAAGTCTTCGAGGGGGCGTTCTAAGTCTTCGAGGGGGCGTTCTAAGTCTTCGAGGGGGCGTTCTAAGTCTTCTTGGGGGGCAAGGGGACATTCTAAGACTTCGAGGGGGCGTTCTAAGTCTTCGAGGGGGCGTTCTAAGTCTTCGCGGGGACGTTCTAAGTCTTCGAAGGGGGGCGTTCCAAGTCTTCGAGGGGGGCGTTCTCTGTCTTCGAGGGGGCGTTCTAAGTCTTCGAGTGGGGGCTTCTACGTCTTCGAGGGGCGTTCTACGTCTTCGAGGGGGCGTTCTAAGTCTTCGAGAAGGGAATTCTATGTCTCGAGGGGGCATTCTAAATGTTCGAGGGGGCGTTCTAAGTCTTGGAAAGGATTCTAAGTCTTCGAGGGGGGCGTTCTAAGTCTTCGAGGGGGGGGGGGCGTTCTACGTCTTCGAGGAGGGCGTTCTAAGTCTTCGAGAAGGGGAATTCGAAGTCTTCGAGGGGGCATTCTAAATGTTCGAGGGGGCGTTCTAAGTCTTGGAAAGGATTCTAAGTCTTCGAGGGGCGTTCTAAGTCTTCGGGGGCGTTCTAAGTCTTCGAAGGGGGCGTTCCAAGTCTTCGAGGGGGCGTTTTCTAAGTCTTCGAAGCGGGGCGTTCTAAGTCTTCGAGGGGGCGATCTAAGTCTTCGAGGGGCGTTCTATGTCTTCGAGGGGGCGTTCTAAGTCTTCGAGGGGGGGCGTTCTAAGTCTTCGAGTGGGGGCGTTCTACGTCTTCGAGGAGGGCGTTCTAAGTCTTCGAGAAGGGAATTCTATGTCTTCGAGGGGGCGTTCTAATGTTCGAGGGGGCGTTCTAAGTCTTCGAGTGGGGGGCGTTCTACGTCTTCGAGGAGGGCGTTCTAAGTCTTCGAGAAGGGAATTATGTCTTCGAGGGGGCATTCTAAATGTTCGAGGGGGCGTTCTAAGTCTTGGAAAGGATTCTAAGTCTTCGAGGGGGCGTTCTAAGTCTTCGAGGGGGGCGTTCTAAGTCTTCGAGGAGGGCGTTCTAAGTCTTCGAGAAGGGAATTCGAAGTCTTCGAGGGGGCATTCTAAGTTCGAGGGCGTTCTAAGTCTTCGAGGGGGCGTTCTAAGTCTTCGCGGGGGCGTTCTAAGTCTTCGAGGGGGCGTTCTAAGTCTTTTGGGGGGAAGGGACATTCTAAGTCTTCGAGGGGGCGTTCTAAGTCTTCGAAGGGGGGCGTTCTAAGTCTTCGAGGGGGCGTTCTAAGTCTTCGAAGGGGGCGTTCTAAGTCTTCGAGGGGGCGTTCTAAGTCTTCGAGGGGGCGTTCTAAGTCTTCGAGGGGGGCGTTCTAAGTCTTCGAGGGGGGCGTTCTAAGTCTTCGAGTGGGGGCGTTCTAGGGCGTTCTACGTCTTCGAGGAGGGCGTCTAAGTCTTCGAGAAGGGAATTCGAAGTCTTCGAGGGGGCATTCTAAATGTTCGAGGGGGCGTTTCTAAGTCTTGGAAAGGATTCTAAGTCTTCGGGGGCGTTCTAAGTCTTCGAAGGGGCGTTCTAAGTCTTCGAGGGGGGCGTTCTAAGTCTTCGAGGGGGCGTTCTAAGTCTTCGAGGGGGCGATCTAAGTCTTCGAGGGGGCGTTCTAAGTCTTCGAGGGGGCGTTCTAAGTCTTCGGGGGCGTTCTAAGTCTTCGAGGGGGGCGTTCTACGTCTTCGAGGAGGGCGTTCTAAGTCTTCGAGAAGGGAATTCTATGTCTTCGAGGGGCATTCTAAATGTTCGAGGGGGCGTTCTAAGTCTTGGAAAGGATTCTAAGTCTTCGAGGAGGGCGTTCTAAGTCTTCGAGGGGGGGCGTTCTAAGTCTTCGAGAAGGGAATTCGAAGTCTTCGAGGGGGCATTCTAAATGTTCGAGGGGGCGTTCTAAGTCTTGGAAAGGATTCTAAGTCTTCGAGGGCGCGTTCTAAGTCTTCGAGGGGGGCGTTCTAAGTCTTCGCGGGGGCGTTCTAAGTCTTCCAGGGGGCGTTCTAAGTCTTCTTGGGGGGCAAGGGGACATTCTAAGACTTCGAGGGGGCGTGCTAAGTCTTCGAGGGGGGCGTTCTAAGTCTTCGCGGGGACGTTCTAAGTCTTCGAAGGGGGCGTTCCAAGTCTTCGAGGGGGTTCTAGTCTTCGAGGGGGGTTCTAAGTCTTCGAGGGGGCGTTTTAAGTCTTCGAGGGGGGGGCGTCATAAGTCTCCGAGGGGGGCATCCTAAATCTTCGAGGGGGCGTGCTAAGTCTTCGAGGGGGCGTTCTAAGTCTTCGAGGGGGCTTTCTAAGTCTTCGCGGGGGGGCGTTCTAAAGTCTTCGAAGGGGCGTTCTAAGTCTTCGAGGGGCGTTCTAAGTCTTCGAGCGGGGCGTTCTAAGTCTTCGAGGGGGCGATTCTAAGTCTTCGAGGGGGGCGTTCTAAGTCTTCGAGGGGGCGTTCTAAGTCTTCGAAGGGGGCGTTCCAAGTCTTCGAGGGGGCGTTCTAAGTCTTCGAGCGGGGCGTTCTAAGTCTTCGAGGGGGCGATCTAAGTCTTCGAGAGGGGCGTTCTAAGTCTTGGAGGGTGGCGTTCTAAGACTTCGGGGGGCGTTCTAAGTCTTCGGAGGGGGCGTTCTAAGTCTTGGAGGGGGGAGGGGACATTGTAAGTCTTCGAAAGGGATTCTAAGTCTTCGAGGGGGCATTCTAATTCTTCGAGGGGGCGATCAAAGTCTTCGAGGGGGCGTTCTAAGTCTTCGCGGGGGGCGTTCTAAGTCTTCGAAGGGGGCGTTTTTCGTTTAAGTCTTCGAGGGGGGCGTTCTAAGTCTTCGAGCGGGGCGTTCTACGTCTTCGAGGGGGCGTTCTAAGTCTTCGAGGGGGGCGTTCTATGTCTTCGAGGGGCGTTCTAAGTCTTCGGGGGAGGCGTTCTAAGTCTTGGAGGGGGAGCGTTCTAAGTCTTCGAGGAGGGCATTCAAAGTCTTCGAGAAGGGAAATTCTAAGTCTTCGAGGGGGCATTCTAAATTTTCGAGGGGGTTCTAAGTCTTTGAAAGGATTCTAAGTCTTCGAGGGGCCATTCTAAGTCTTCGAGGGGGGCATTCTAAGCTTCGAGGGGCATTCTAAGTCTTCGAGGGGCGAGGGGGACATTCTAAGTCTTCGAAGGGATTCTAAGTCTTCGAGGGGGCATTCTGAATCTTCGACTGGGTATTCTAAGTCTTCGACGGGGCGTTCTAAGTCTTCGAAGGGGGCGTTCCAAGTCTTCGAGGGGGCGTTCTAAGTCTTCGAGCGGGGCGTTCTAAGTCTTCGAGGGGGGCGATCTAAGTCTTCGAGGTGGGCGTTCTAAGTCTTCGAGGGGGGCGTTCTTACGTCTTCGAGGAGGGCGTTCTAAGTCTTCGAGAAGGGAATTCTAAGTCTTCGAGGGGGCATTCTAAATGTTCGAGGGGGCGTTCTAAGTCTTGGAAAGGGATTTAGTCTTCGAGGGGGCGTTCCAAGTCTTCGAGTGGGATTTCTAAGTCTTCGAGCGGGGCGTTCTAAGTCTTCGAGGGGGCGATTCTAAGTCTTCGAGGGGGGCGTTCTAAGTCTTCGAGGGGGCGTTCTAAGTCTTCGAGGGGGGCGTTCTAAGTCTTCGAGTGGGGGCGTTCTAAGTCTTCGAGGCGGGGGGCGTTCTAAGTCTTCGAGAAGGGAATTCTATGTCTTCGAGGGGCATTTAAATGTTCGAGGGGGCGTTCTCAGTCTTCGGAAAGGATTCTAAGTCTTCGAGGGGGCGTTCTAAGTCTTCGAAAGGGGCGTTCTAAGTCTTCGGGGGGCGATTCTAAGTCTTCGAGGGGGCGTTCGCTAAGTCTTCGAGGGGGGTGTTCTAAGTTTTCGAGGGGGGCGTTTCTAAGTCTTCGAGTGGGGGCGTTCTACGTCTTCGAGGAGGGCGTTCTAAGTCTTCGAGAAGGGAATTCTGTTCTTCGAGGGGGCATTCTAAATGTTCGAGGGGGCGTTCTAAGTCTTCTAAGTGGGGGCGTTCTACGTCTTCGAGGAGGGCGTTCTAAGTCTTCGAGAAGGGAATTCTATGTCTTCGAGGGGGCATTCTAAATGTTCGAGGGGGCGGTTTAAGTCTTGGGAAAGGATTCTAAGTCTTCGAGGGGCGTTCTAAGTCTTCGAGGGGGCGTTCTAAGTCTTCGAGGGGCGTTCTAAGTCTTCGAGAAGGGAATTCGAAGTCTTCGAGGGGGCATTCTAAATGTTCGAGGGCGTTTCGAAGTCTTCCGAGGGGCGTTCTAAGTCTTCGCGGGGGCGTTCTAAGTCTTCCAGGGGGCGTTCTTGGGGGGGAAGGGACATTCTAAGACTTCGAGGGGGCGTGCTAAGTCTTCGAGGGGGCGTTCTCAGTCTTCGACGTTCTAAGTTCGAAGGGGCGTTCCAAGTCTTCGAGGGGGCGTTCTATGTCTTCGAGGGGGGCGTTCTAAGTCTTCGAGTGGGGGCCTTCTACGTCTTCGAGGAGGGCGTTCAGTCTTCGAGGAGGGCGTTCTAAGTCTTCGAGAAGGGAATTCTATGTCTCGAGGGGGCATTCTAAATGTTCGAGGGGCGTCTAAGTCTTGGAAGGATTCTAAGTCTTCGAGGGGGGTCTAAGTCTTCGAGGGGGGGCGTCTACGTTCTGTCTGAGGATTGCGTTCTGTAGTCTTCGAGAAGGGAATTCGAAGTCTTCGAGGGGGCATTTAAATGTTCGAGGGGGGGTTCTAAGTCTTGGAAAGGATTCTAGTCTTCGAGAGGGCGTTCTAAGTCTTCGGGGGACGTTCTAAGTCTTCGAAGGGGGGTTCCAAGTCTTCGAGGGGGCGTTCTAAGTCTTCGAGCGGGG